TTGAACGAAGAACACTTTACTTTTCATCTACAGTGAAAACATTCTCGTACGTTTGCTAACCGTAAATATGAAGAGCTGCACTGTCTTACCCCCCAAAATCCGAAAATGTGCGACCCACTTCTAGTAACTCTATTGAAAATGCGATCCCATTATGGTCAATCCAGTCGTGAAAATGCCACCCCATCCACCGGTACATCTCCATTAGTCTTACAAGGAAGTGCCACCGCTCTCCCTCCCGGGTCTTGCATCATGCGTAATGAGCAGTGAATATTTTACGAGAACTTGTCTGTATTTGGTCAGATTGAAAGTCGTTAAATGGGTAAAATTTCTTGGAAGACATTTACATCAAATTCAGGGAAACTGAGCTGGTCGAAATTTCGTTACCGAATCGCGTGTGAATTCACGGCTCACTACACATACAATTGCAAGAATGCAGAGATAAAAAAGAAATTATCGAGTTCTAATTATTTTATTATCTTTGGGGGTACCCTTGACCTGGCTTGACTGTAACCGTTAAAGCCTCACTAATTCCACACATAATCTGTCTACTATATTAGACTTATATTTCACAGACTGCTCTCTAAACATTTCTCACCCTAAAACAACAAAAAATGAGTTAACGGGAGTGCAGTTATCAGTCAGGTGATTCCTATTACATAATATTCCTTTTAAGCAGGCTATTAAAGGAAAACCGAGTCTATTTTTGCGTGGAATTAGCTAATCACGTTAACGTCGGTCGCGCGTCACCAATCATGACAAGCATTTCACGAAATGCTACCGCAGTCACTTAAACGTGACGATGGATGACCTCTCAGGAAACCGCGTGAAACTTCTCTTTGCCGTTGCAATTTTTCTCTCGCGGCGGCCTCATGTAAAGGAATCCGGATTCCGCAATCGGGGAAATTTTCTCTTATGGAATCGGGAATCAGGAAAAATTTGGCTCGCGGTTTCGGAGTCCTGGACTTTGAAATTCGGAATACAGCTCAAGGAATCGGTAATCCCGTTAACGATCGGAATCCGTAATCCAAGTGTCACTGACAAAGAAACCAGGACTCCAGTTGCTGGAACCCGAAATCTACGGCGTGGAATCCAGAATCCAAGACTGTATTCATTTGGATTTCTTTACGTACTAGGTCGATCTTTCCGTTGTTATTTTGCAGTTTTGTGATTGGTATTTATTTGGAAAGGGTACGCTTTATTATCAATCTCTTCAAGCCTTTCAGACCACTTGGCAGGGTACTTTAGAGATCGCATGTTTTGCGTTTCATCGTTTCAACTTTGGTTATCGGAACTCAATGCGATAGCAATTTCAATTTGCCGATTTGGACACCTTTCTAAAGTTCTAACCATAAATAGGAATACCACTGGGTTGTTTTTGCCATTTAAAGACCTTTAGCAAAGTATTTTTCAGGGGCACCCAACGACAATTTTTCGGAAAATATCTGTTCGGAAGACGATTTGAGATCTAGAATTTTCGGAACATTTGTTGTAAAATTTCTTGCTTGCCTGCCTCTCCTACGATTTTCGAACATCTAAAAAATGGTATAATTTGCTTATTTTTAACGGATTTTTACCCTAAAAAGGTCACCTTGAATTTTTGGAGGCCTCTTTTCTGGCTGGAATTTTCGAAAAAGGTAAGTTTCGATCCCTATAATTTTCGGATCACTAGACTTTCAGCTAGGAAACCCGAACAGATGAAAAATTTTTAGGGGATAAAAATATGCTTATATCTACCGTTTAAATACTAAAATACGTTTAACAATACTATGTTTAAGTGGTTTTGAACGATATTCTCGTTGGGTGCCCCTGATTTTTTTGTCCAACTAAGTAGCGTGATATCACGCCATTATAGATTACATGCTTTTGCAAACAAAGCCGGAGACCACTCTTTTAAATGTAGCTTTAGACTGGCATTCTTTCCTTGCTATTATACAATGGAACTTTGCTTGAGAATCGTTCGAGATTCCAATTTAAATTAAGGAAAAGAAGAAAAAGAGGAAGTCATTTGCGGGGCTTGAACCATTTTGATGACAGACTGTCCTTGTCAGTTTAGAGTGTTTTCACATGACGTCACGGTGGCCATTTTGGTGGTCCAAAACAATAAAACGGCGTCCATGTTGGTCTACCAAGATAACCCTGTGGGAATTGAACTCTTTTGTTACGTAAAAACTTTCTTTTGTTCCCATAAATTAGCATAGATGCTGGCCACGTGAGGGAAAACGCTTTATATTGTGCTAGGAAAGCTTTTCGCTGTAAAGGAGGTCATTGAAATGTAACCGGATTTAGCTGTTTCTTCTTAAGGTGAAACATGAGATAGACCTATACACGAAATAAGGAAATGCGGGGGACAATTAATCTAAATAAGCTTGGTGAAATGACAGACAAGCGATGAATATGGGAAGAAGGCTTTTGTCAGCGTACTAACAGTGTCTTAAGTTTGTGCTTGTGTTTATACTTATATCCTAAGGTGCTACAAGCTTAGTTTCTAATACTTTAAAGGAGATATAGCCACGCACGGCATCTTGGGCCATTTAGGGAAGTCCTTCTGAGTTTTTGATAGGCCCAGACCATCGAGGAATGAAGGGTTAATTGGTGATTGCGAGCTAATAGTCTTGAACTTCGAAACCGGAAATTCTTCTTTCCCAGCGTAAACGGCTTGTAACAACACTTATAAGTAAGATTTTTGTAGAGAACTATTCCAATTAAAGGTTTGCAGGCAGCTTAGGTTAAAACATCAAGATTTATCGGCAGTGTTAATGTCTTCCTGGTTATCTTCTATGAACAACAAATCTGAATGTTGATTAAAGAGATTGTTAAACCCAACACAGTGAACATCATGTGAGAAGACCTCACCAGTCTAAAAACTATCCCATATTATATAAAGACGGTTATCTCAGAGAAAATAGAGTAAAACAAGTGATGACGTCACAAAACCTGAATTTGTGAAATTATGGGATCTCTTCGGTTTTTTCGAGAGAGCAAGATGCATGTGAAACGCCTCATTGCCAACGAGCAGAAAGGCATTTAGCAATAATTATTATATGTTAAATGAGTCAGAATATAATCTGCAGGATTATGCAGATTGAGGAGGCCAGGGTTGGTTCCCGGGGTGTCCTCGGGATTCAAGTCACAGGGATGATCGAATGGCGGCAAAAGTCAACCCCCCCCCCCCCCCCCCCCCCCAAAAAAAAACACACACCCCACAAAAAAAAAAACACAAAAAAAAAAAACAACAAAACAAAAAAACAAAAAAAACATAGTTAAACATTTTTCCACAAAAATAAACCACCACAACACTACCAC